TAAACTGAAAAAGAGTGCCAAAGACATCTTTCCCTTCTTGCTTTTCTCTTTCATATTTTTGATGTATAAGTTCTAGTTCATCCACAACTGATGCAATTGTACAGAGAATTTTTTTTTTCAAAACAACCACCCAAGTGCTTTTAGTCTGAGATAATTCTCATAAAATCCAAAGTCATCAAACAGTCCAATCAGCTGATTCTTTTTAATACTTTCTCTTTTTCCACTTTCTCTTTTTGGGATAAAGTTTGATCACAAAGTTCTCTTTAAAATATATCTTTAGGGAGTCTTATTGCTGTTTAATAGCTCTTTAAAATTAACTCTTTAAAGTTTTAGGCAGTCTTCTCCTTATTTTCAGGTTGCTCCAATTTTTTTTTTCCTCTCCCTTCCCACTCACAGCCAAAAAAAAAATTCTTCTTTTTTTTTTCCCCTTTGAATATTCAGAAATCCTTGCTCCTTCAATATTCATTTACCTCCAGAACAGATTCCCGGATTTCTCTTATGGTTCCACTGCTGTCACGTTAGGGAGGAGAGTGAAAGGCAAGAAAAGAAAAAAAAAACTTACTCTTTTGAAATGTTCGCCGCTTGTGTCTCTTTCTAGAAACAAAGTATCCTTAACAGCCTTCGAGATTGCAGGAACTCTCTCTCTTAACTTTATCCCAGTCAGAAGCAACTTCCACAGCTCTTCCCTCTTCCTCCAGCACAAATCTTACCCGGCTGCTGGCTTCTTTGAGGCGGCCATTACTGACCGCCGCTCCACCACCTCAGGAAAAAGGGGTTATTCCGGCTGGAAAGGGGGTCTGCGTTACCCCCAAACCTCTGTCTGGATCCCCTCTCTCTTCAGCTGCCTCCACAAGGCAGCCATAGCCCCCAGACCTATTTAGATCGGGGGCACCTTGGCAGCAAACGCGGCAGGGATCGCAGAGGCGCGAATTCCTGCTGCTACCGAAGCCGCGCAAAACCGGAAGCCCCAGAGTTCAGTCTTTATGTGTGTCTTGTCTGCCAGGCATTTGGTTCTGGCAATTAATGTTTTGGCCACGGAGTTTATCTGTGCTGGGAGGTGGTGGGATTGGGCATTGAGGTAGCGGTTGGTGTGTGTTTTCTTCTGGTATATGGTGTGTCCTAGTGTGCCATCTGTTTTTTTGTAGTTTTTTTGTAGATTAGTACATCTAGGAATGGTAGTTGTTTGTTTGTTTCTGTTTCCATGGTGAACTTGATTTTGGGGTGTGTGCTGTTTAGGTGTGTTAGGAAATTGTTTAGGTTTTCTTTTCTATGGGGCCAAATCACAAATGTCATTGATGTATCTTAACCATAGTTTGGGTTTGTGGGTGGCATTAGCTAGGGCTCTGGATTCGAATTCTTCCATGAACAGGTTTGCAACGACGGGTGACAGTGGTGATCCCATAGGGGCTCCTTCAATTTGCTTGTATCTTTGTCCTTTGTATATGAAATATGTATTGGTTAAGCAGTGTTCTGCTAGTTCCATGAGGTGTTTAGCTGGTTGGTATTTATTTTTGATGATTTCAAGAGTTTCTTTTATCGGGACTTGAGTGAATAGTGAAATTTAAAACTGAAACAGCTGTGAAAGTCTGACTCACAGACGAACACAATACAGAAGCCTGATGATGGCAGATGAGATTCTGCCGAAACATTGCTACAACTTTAAAAGTACAACTATAATGACGTGGAAAAATACCCGAACAAAGCTGAATATACTCTACTCTCTCTCTCTATATATAAAAATTTATAATTAACATAAAAATTATATTAAATATATTAGCTTTTTAAAAAATTGTATTAGTGGTCCTCGGGATTTAAAAGTATGAGTTTGGTGGTCCCTGAGATCCAAAAGGTTGGTGACCCCTGTCATAGAACATACATCCTGGGGATTGAGAAGTTCCCAGGGGGTTGGCTCCGGCATGAGTCCAAAATCTTGGAAGAACAAATCCAGTAACAGACCTAGATTGGATCCTGCATGATATACCTGATGTAATAAAAGACGGTGTTCGTTCTGAGTATATTTCTGTTAAATTAGGCTATCTTTCTAGTTGTTTGAGAACACTAATCAAATGCAGATGAAATCTAATTTCAATTATACATAGTAGAGAGAATCATTACTGCACTGAAATCACTTTGGCTTCCTTTTAGAACATAGGGGAGGGATTCTGCCGGTTTGGACTGGTTCGGGCGAACCCCTGGCTCCGCTGGCTCCGATCCAGTTCATTCCGACAATCATGTGGGCCTGCCCCACCCACACGTATATTCACCTATATCTGCTCAACTGATTCGCGCGGCAGAGCAGATTGCCGTGTCTCAGCTGTGCTACTTACCTGAAGTAAGATCGAAGGGAAGTAGTTTTGAAAGCTTTGCACTTGGTGTAAAATTTGGTAAAGTAAAAATTGGTGTAAATTGCCAAATCTAGATGGGGCTGCATAGAAAAAAAAAATTTCCCATTGCATTCCTACTGGACAATTGACTGGCAGCTCACAATAAAAAGACTGTTCCATTCTAAACCCTGCTCCTTCTTCCTTCTCAGTCATGTTAAACTGTTTTAAAGCATTTGGAAAGAATTCCCGAAGCCACACTGTGCGTGTCCTTATTTCATTAAGGCTGCTAATTTTTACACTTTCTATGCGTTACAAGCACCAGATAAGTTTTTTTTAAAATTCTTTTGCATTAGTATCTGAGAAGAAGGCACACATAAGAGCACCACCTGCTCCAACTCAGTGTGAGTTTTTGTTTTGGAAAAAAAAAAAAAACAGATCAGAAAAGCCTTTGGTTTTGTGGGGGCTACAGGAAGCATCCTGTAGCCCCACAAAGCAGAGGTGGTATTCAGCCAGTTTGCACCAGTTCTGGCGACCCAGTAGCAAGAATTTGGCACAGGTCGCGGAATTGGTAGCGACTTCTGGCTGCCCCCCCCAAACCGGTTCCCTGGTCACTGGTCACTCAGTTGCCCCACCCGCCCGATGCTCACTCGCTTGTGCAGCTTTCCGCCCGCCACCCACCCTGCCCAGTCACTCCTCCCTTCCTATGTGGCACGCTGGGCCCTCATGGCTTGACTAACCTGACTTCCCCATGTGGTGCCTGCACCCCAACTGAGCAGCCCTGATCTGCCTGCCCTGCTCACAGGTAAGCCTGCATCACGCTAGGTCCTTGCCCCCCCCACCGCCCGGGGCCTTTCCGGGCCTCCCCCCCACCGCCTGGGACTTTCCAGGCAGGAGGAGACCAAGGTGGGGCATCTTTTTCAGGCCAGTCCAGAGGGCGGGGGGAGGCAGCCCCAGGAGTTCCTGACCTCCCTTTCGGGGCACCCCTCCCACTGCCTCCGCCACCCCCGTCAGCTCCAGCCCCAGCGCAGCAGAGAATGGAAACGGAAAGGCTTTCCATTCGCTTTCTCCCTGCGTTTCAGGGCGCCCCTGCCCACCACCACTGCCGTCCATGTGCTTCGAAAGGGAGAGTGGATGGATGTTCCAGGGCTGCTGCTTTCTTCATTGTGCTGCTCTGGAGTTTGCCCAATAAGTTCTTCCCAGAAAAGGTGTGTGTGTGTGAGAGAGAGAGAGTCAAGGAAGGAAAGGGAGGAAGGAAGGAAGGGCAAGAAGGAAAGAGCAAGACAGGAAGAAAGAGCAAGAAAGGAAGAGAGAGCAAGAAAGAAAAGAGGAAGAGAGAGAGAGAGAGAAAGAAAGAAAGAGGAAGGGGGAGAAAGAAAGAGAAAGAAAGAAGAGGGTGAGAGACAAAACTCAGTGCTATTATTTTTAATTGTTCCATTATTTATCATATATTTTACACTGTCCCTACACCTAATTTTATTGCCTTTCTTTTGCCCAGGTATTTTTCAGGGTTTACAAGTCAATAGTCCAGAGCATAAATACAGAGTTGAAAGGGACTATGGAGGTCTTCTAGTCCAACCCTCTGCTCAGACAGGAAAACTGAGGGTGCCAAAATCTGACTAGAGGTCCTGGGAAAGGTGTCAGAATAACAGAATAACACTTAGAAGGGACCCTGGGGGGAACTCTATACCATTTCAGAGAAATGGCTGCCCAGTCTTTTGTTAAAAACTTCCAGTGTTGGAGCACCCAGAACATCTGGTGGCAAGCAATTCCACTGGTTAATTGTTCCCACTGTCAGGAAGTTTCTCCTTACTTTTAGGTTGCTTCTCTCTCTGTTCAGTTTCCATCTTGCTTTGGAAAATGCATTGTTTGCCTTCTGGTGCTTTGGAAAATACACCCCCCCCCCTTTCTGGCAACTCCTAAAATCCTGTTGCCTATCACCCTCTTGGGCAAAGCATGTGAGCCATTTCCTCCTTTCAGTGGTCCATGAAAGTACATCTATAGTACATAGATAATAAAGTCAACAAAAGGTGAACAACATTTTTACAGAACTATAGATATGTTGAGGCTGGGTGTGATAAGGAATGGCTGGGAGGGGAGGGGCCAGGTTAGGCACCCCTGGACTTGAGTGACATTGAGTTGGCCATACCCACCCAGTCACATGACCATCAAGTCACGCCCAGTCATATGACCATCCCAGTCACATGCCCACCAAGCCATGCCCACCCAGTCATGTGACCCTAAGCCACACCCACAGAACCAGTAGTAAAAAAATTTGAATCCCACCACTGCCACAAAGCCTCCCCAGAACCTTTTTTAGCTCACATTACAGAATCAGCAGAATGAATCAACCTGACTGTCCTTAAAGTGAAATGCAGAAAAGATCAGATCCAGATGTTCATGTTGTAGAGAGTTAGAAAACATCATGGAGAGACCTGGGAAGCCTTCAGCCTGGCCAGGACAGGTGACCCACCACACTTCTGCCCCATTTGGGGCAACAGTCAAGATACTAAGTGCTCTCGACCGAGAGTAGGGAAAACTTTTACTCCCCTAATTTAATTTTGATGGATTTAAACCATCGACCACAAGTTCAGTCTTTCAGCCCTATGTTGCCCCATCTACCAAGGTCTTCCCTCAGAGGCCAAGAGGGAGCGCTGTTCTCCTTCCTCTCCCACTCACCTGATATAGGGGAAAAGCGGCTCCACATGGCCGCTGAGCACGGCGATCGCGTAGGAGAGGATGAAGGCGGCCGACGACCAGGAGACCAGGAACGTGGGGATGAAGGCCGCGCCTTGCGCGAAGCAGGACATCCTGCTACACCAGCGGCCACTCTGGGGGATTAACGGCTGCCCTTCCCCGTCACCAGGCCCGACGGCGGAGAGGCCGCACCAGCTCATAGGGGTTGCTATGATCCTCCAAGCGGCTGAAGTCATAAAAGCGGCTGAAGTCACAAAACTTTTTTACTCGAGAGCGGGGGAGGAGGAGGGGGGCAGGACGAAGCCGCCCCCAGGCGTCCCTTCCAGAAGAGGAACTGCTCCCTTGGTGGGGGGTGGGGAGGAAAGGGAGGCCGAACCCGCGGAGCTCCCGCTTTCTCCCCTGCGCACGTGCCTCCGGGCCCAGCACCCACCAAGCCGCCCCCGCCCAGCTTTTCTCTTCCCGTTCAAGAGCCGCCCCCGCCCTGTCCTGTCCTTCTGCTCCGACCTTCCCCGCCGCCACACTCGGCTAGAATCGGAATCAGAGTTGGAAGGGACCTTGGAGGTCTTCTAGTCCAGCCCCCTGCTCGAGCAGGAGATCCTAAACCCGTCGCGAGGAAGACGGGCTTTCCCGCTTTTTCATCAGCGGCGGTTTTCCTCCGAGAAAATTAAGCTGCCTTTTTTGTTTTCCCCCCCGTGGTAGAAAGCTGTCAGGGGCACGGCGACTTGATCTGTCAGCAAAGCACACCCACATCCCCTCGGGGCAGCCTCAAAGCGGAACTCGGAGGAGCCGTCGACGCCTCCCAACCAGCTCAGCAAAACGATTCCCCCCTCCACCCTTAGCTGACTTGGCTCTGGGACATTGTGCAATGTTGCGAAGTAAACCGCGGCTTCTTCCCCTCGCCCGGCGCTCCGGCCAAGAAACGGACTGCTTTTTTGCTTTCGTTTCCTTGTCTAAACACCCGCACGCCACGACGCCTCCTCCTCCTCCTTCTTCATCCGCTGTGGCTGATTTCTGTGGGAAAGAGAATTCCCAACGAGCTCTTAAGCCGCTCCGGGACTACTGTGATGCTGCTGGCTGAGAAAATTTGACCGGCCTTTTACTCAACTGGATAAACTGAGCCCTGTGTTCTGTCATCAGTGGAAGTGGTTGAGACACTGAATCACAAACAATGAATCGGGGTTAACACCAAGCGTAACCAACCTGTGGTTCAAATGCTACTGGTGGGTCTTCAGGAACTTGGTTAAATTTGTTGTTGGGATACAGCCAATTTGCCTAAGGAGTAACTTTTTCTGGAGCAGTGCTTCTTAAAAGTGCTATCCTAGGACCCGGGTGGGGGGGTTTCCCCCAAGACTTAGAGATCTGAAAAAAAATAATCAAAATTATTTACCGTTTCATGTTGAAAAGTAATACAGTATTAAAATCCCATCAAGTTGTCGTGAGAAGCAACAGTGAACGCACTAATTTTAGTATGGTAAATATAAATATTACCCACACAAACAAAATCTCTTTGCAGTCCTCCATAATTTTTAAAAGTGTACTGAAAAAAAAGTTTAAGAAATATTGATCTGATTATGGAATAACTGAACCTACTACTACAGTATAACGTGTTAAACTTCAATTCTCAGAAGTTCCAGTCTGCATGGACAATAGTGAAAAATGCTGAGCTGAGATTTATCAACATCTAAAAGTACATTAGTGCCCCACCCCAATTATACTTCTGTATAATTTTTTAATGTCTTTCCAAGAGTTTCTATTAATATTAAAATGACACTGTTTCTGTTCTTCCATCAGCTACCTAATTATGATCTATAATGTGGGTGGAGAATTTACAAGGATGATTACAATTAGGGAATAATTCTTTCATCTCTTTATATATGCTGTATTACCTGCTGTCACAATTACACTTTGTTGGCAAACAAACTTTGTTGGCATCAGTTGAGTTTATATATCATGATGACAACATGATACCTAAGCAGTAAGCTAGTTAAAAGGCTCAATGCTCAGTTCATACTAACCAAATTTGTTGGCCACTTTGTGAGCACAAAGCTAATTTTCCAAAGCCTAATTTAGAGCTAGCAGACTAGGGTTCCAGAAATCTGGACAATCACTAGTTGATACCAAAGATATACCAAAAATTACCTGCTGACATCCATTGAACTCTAGGAGCCCTACTTTAACTACCAACTCAAAAAAAAAAAAAATTCAAGGGAGAAAGCTGTAAAGGGAAGGGTTGAGCCTCTTCTCTTTATGCATACTAATCCCTTCGTAAATGCCCCCTGTCCCCATAACAATTAAATTTACCATTTAAAAGTTTCCATTTCTACCAAGCTTTTTTTTTTGTCTAAGGTTAGTTCCTATGCTGAAGGAGCTAAATATCAAGTGAAGTTGCAGTGGGAGAAAATAAGTCCTCCCCTTTCTTTAAAATATGTGATATTCCAAAACTGCCCCTTTTTCAAAAATTGCAATTATGGAGAGAAAACTATCAATAGTTCCAGTTGATTTTCCTTCTGAAACATATATACATGCACAAATTTGGGAGAGATTTACCTTCAGAAGAGAGAGAGAGAATACTGGGAAAGAGAAGAAGTATACAGGGTGCAATTGGAAAATAGAGCGAAATTGTGTTATTTCTAAATGTTTAAATAGCCTGGATAGAAATTTCTTATCTACCATTTTATGTTTTTGATCCATGATTTATATTTACATATGGTTAGTCATTTCATTTTGAATCTCATTTCCTCTCTACCATATCCATCTTTCTTTGGGGCTGCACAAATAATGTTGGTGTAGACGTGCTGTCTATATTGTTAACATAAGTTCTGCTTCTACTGTAATTCTTGATATAATAAAATGCCCAGTCTTTAAAGGCATACTGGTTGATTTTCTCATTGGTAAATATCTTCAAACTAGCTAGTAAACAATCATGTACCAGAAGCTGCAGCACAAACAGATGAATCATTGCACAATTGTGGGATTTTTTGTAAATTTCTGTGAACTGACTGTTCTTTTTCCCACGGCATGTTTGGCCAGCCCTTTATTTAAAATAACATAAAGGGAAGTTCCCAATCACAAACACATGTCTATCAAAAATGACATTGTCTGTGCCTCATCAACATTCCAATGTAAGGAAATCGGGAGAGATACCAAGGCAAAAACTAGCTCAGAGAAGATGACATAGACCAGGGGTATCAAAGTCAAGGCCCACGGGCCGAATTTGGCTCGCGGGGTGATTAGATCTGGCCCGTGGGGCAGTCTAGAAATAGCAAAGGACCAGCCCATGGTGTCTCTGCTACCAAAAATGGGATGCCAGCAGGGTGCACCCCGCCACACACAACTGCTTTTAGCCTCCGGAGCCCTCCAGGAGGCATTCCAGTCCCAAAATGGGCATCCAGAGTGGTCTATGCCCAAAACAGGGACTCTGAAGAGCTCCAGGAGGCCATCCTTGACTCAAAAGGTTATAAAAAGGAGGAAAAGTAAAATATTTTACCTTTCAGGCTTGCAGGATTCTGCTATTTTAACCTATGTCAACAATTTATAGTTCTAGTCTTCCTGTGGAGTCAGTTTCTTCATCCAGTCATAAGGTGACCAAGTAGATCAAACAAAA